TTAGTTGCGGCATGTGGGATCTTTAGTTGCAGCATGCAGGCTTTTAGCTGAGGCATACAGGATCTAGTTCCCTGCCCAGGGATTGAACCCAGGCCCCCTGCATTGGGATCATGGAGTCCTAACCACTGGACAACCAGGGAAGTCCCTATTTGTATACTTTTTGATGATGGTCATTCTGACAAGAGTAAGGTGATACCTCATTGTAGTTTTGATTTGAATTTCTCTAATAATTAGTTGATGTTGCACATTTTTTTCATGTGCCTGTTGGCCTGTGTGTCTTCTTTGGAGAAATGTCAATTTAGGTCTTCTGCCCACTTTTCAATTGGGTTTTTTTTGTTGTTGTTGTTATTGAGTTGTATGAGCTGTTTGTACATTTTGGAAATTAAGCCCTTGTCTGTCACATCATTTGGAAATATTTTCTCCCATTCTGTAGGTTGTCTTTTCATTTTGTTTATGGTTTCCTTTGCTATGTAAAAAAAGCTTATACATTTGATTAGGTCCCATTTGTTTACTTTTGCTTTTATTTCTATCGCCTTGGGAGACTGACTTAAGAAAACATTGCTACGATTTATGTCAGAGAATGTTTTGTCTAGGTTCTCTTGTAGGAGCTTTACGGTATCATGTCTTATATTTAAGTCTTTAAGCCATTTTGAGTTTATTTTTGTGTATGGTGTGAGTCAGTGTTCTAAATTCAATGATTTACATGTGGCTGTCCAGCTTTGCCAACACCACTTGCTGAAGAGACTGTCTTTTCCCCATTGTATATTCTTGCCTCCTTTGTCAAAGATTAATTGACTGTAGGTGTGTGGGTTTACTTCTGGGCTATTTGCATTAAGTCTTCCAGTATAATGTTGAATGGAAGTGAGAAGAGACATCTTTGTCCTACTCCTCATCTTAGCAGGAAAGCATCTAGTTTTTTTTACCATTAAGTATGATGTTAGCTGTAGTTTTGGTAGATTTTTTTTTTTGAAGCTACTGCTTATCTTTTATTATTATTATTTATTTATTTATTTTTGGCTGTGTTGGGTTTTCATTGCTGCACATGGGCTTTCTCTAGTTGTGGTGAGTGGGGGCTACTCTTCGTTGTGGTGTATGGGCTTCTCGTTGCAGTGGCTGCTCTTGTTGTGGAGCATGCGCTCTAGGCGCGCTGGCTTCACTAGTTGTGGCTCACGGGCTCTAGAGTGCAGGTTCAGTAGTTGTGGCACGTGGGCTCAGTTGCTCTGCGGCATGTGGGATCTTTCCGGACCAGGGCTCGAACCTGTGTCCCCTGCATTGGCAGGTGGATTATTAACCACTGTGCCACCAGGGAAGTCTTTGGTAGATGTTCTTTATCAAGTTGAGGAAGTTCCTCTCCATCCCTAGTTTGCTGAGAATTTTTATTATGAAAGGGTGTTAGATTTTGTCAAATGCTTTTTCTGCACCTATTGATATGATTATATATTTTTTCTTCTTTAGCCTATTGATGTGATGGATTACATTAACTGATTTTTAAATGGTGAACCAACCTTGCATACCTGGGATAAATCCCACTTGGTCATGTTGTATAATTCTTTTTATACATTGTTGGATTCAATTTACTAATATTTTGTTGCATATTTTTGCATCTATTCATGAAATATATTGGTCTGTAGTTTTCCTTTCAAGTAATGTCTTTGTATAGTTTTGGTATTGGGGTAATTCTAGCCTTACAGAATGAATTAGGAAGGATTCCCTCTGCCTCTATTATCTGTTAAGAAATAATATTTATAAAATTTCTACTGAAATGTTGGGTAGAATTTACCAGTGAACCCACCTGCACTGGTGCTGTTTTGGAAGATTATTAATTATTGATTCAATTTCTTTAATAGATAAAGGCCAATCAGATGATCTACTTATCCTTGTTGGGGTTTTGGTAGATTGTGCCTGTGATTATTGTGATTTATAATAAGAGAAATATATTTGGTCTTTCTCCTCATTCCTGGTACTAGGCTCCTAAAAACCTTGGAATTTCCTCAATGTTGAGATCTTTTATGTTAATGGGGTGACTTTTGGAAAGCATCTAAGGATTGGGGCTTTGTTGTCAGTGGAGCTAACCACGTGTCTAAATTAAATTTTAGGAAGTTCTTATGTATTTAAATATCGTGTCTGGCTTTGGTTTTGTTAATTTCTCCTGCAACCCTAATTACAAATATTTTAGATTTGTATTCTCTGTCTCTTACCCTTTTCCTATATAATCCATCCTTTTTGTCCTTTTTGTGCTTCATTCATTTTCTTCTCAACTATGTAGTTCACTCATTTTTTCTTCAGCTGTTTCATCTGCTGCTATATGCATCCACAAATTCTTTGTTTTTGTTTTTCAATTTCAGAATTTCCATTTAGTTCTTTTCATTGTTCCCCATTTTTTGTTAAAATTCTTATCTTTCATTTCTCAACATTGTACGTATTATTTTAAAATCTGTGCCCAGTAACTCAAATTCTGAATTCCCAGTAGAAATGTTTCTACTCTCAATTGCTTCTGTTGACTTTTCTTTGCATTATTTGTCTTCTCTTGTGCCTAGTTTAAAAAAAGTTTTCACAAAATTGTTTGTAAAAATAACTTGAGAGCTAATAGACTATTACGTCCTTACAGAGAGGATTTCCTGGTACCTGAGGACACTAGCATTATGGAATCACTTAAATCCAACTGTAGAAATTGAGAAATTCAAAAGCTGAGCTGCAGCCCCCTGGGTGAGCCTGTCTGTGTGTGGTTCACGCTTATTTTTAGAGTGTGGTCATCTGGGGTCCCACACACCAAAGGGAAGTAATTTACCAGCACTAACCCTCACCTTGGCAGTCCCCAGAATCCAATTTTGGTGTCTCCAGGCCAATGTCAGGACCTATGCACTCGGTACACTCCCTTTCTGGGATGATGTTCTTAGGTAGAAGGGAAAAACCTTTAATTTTCCCCTTTATCCACAACATGGTCTGATATGTAGCTTTTAATCACACTGTATTTTATTTTTTCAGTATTTTTAAAAGTATTTATTTTTGGCTGTGCCAGGTCCTAGTTGCAGCATGCAGGATCTTTGTTGTGGCATGTGGGGTCTTTTAGTTGCAGCACGTGGGCTTCTTAGTTGCGGCATGCGAACACTTAGGTGTGCCATGTGGGATCTAGTTCCCTGACCAGGGACTGAACCCAGGCCCCCTGCATTTGGAGCACAGAGTCTTATCCTCTGGACTACCAGGTAAGTCCCTAACCACAGTGTATTTTAAATAGTAGAATCAGTTTGCTTCAACAGACCCTGAGAAGTCAGGCATTATTCTTGAAATTGAAGTTTCTTTATTCTATCTTGGAGATTCACCTCACCCCATCCTCATCAGATGAGAGGGTGCCTGGCTGATTGGGATATCTGCTGCTCTTAGGAACCCACACAGAAAAGGTGATATCATGATCATGTAAGGCACCAGATAGATCTCTTAGTTCCCAAGGAACAGGAACCATTACCTGCTAGTAAAATTGACATAGTGCCTAACCTATGACCCAGCAATTTCATTCCTGCATATGTTTTCCAGAAAAACTCTCAAAGGTGTTCAGACCAAGACTTTATAATAAGGAGTTGGTTAAAAGCCTAAATGTATAAAATTGAAAGTAAGGCCACACACAGACCAATGATTATGATGCACCATGAAATGAGTTTGTAATCAATCCCCACTGAGCACCCAAGGTCATTTCTTGACCAGGTCTCGGAAGAGGGCAGATCCTATAGCAAACGATTAGAGATCCCTCTTCAGGCTGAATAGATACCAACCCATAAACAGAGCCCTTCAAGCAGTCATTCAACAGCATGTGTCACAAGCCTTCTCTGCGTCAGTCAATACTTTATATATTGGAGACCCAAAGATGAATGAGGTAAATACGGTCTGTGTTCAGCATATCACATGTACACATGGCCCACCCACATTTCACCATCTTTTTTTTTTTTAACAAAGGATAGGAAATTTTGTGAAATGATTTACCAAAACACAGATATTTGCTGCATTTCCCAGATATACTAACACGATAAAAAGGGATCACTAATCATTAGAGAAATGCAAATCAAAACTATAATGAGGTATCACCTCACACAGGTCAGAATGGCCATCATAAAAAAATCTACAAACAATAAATGCTGGAGGGGGTGTGGAGAAAAGGGAACCCTCTTGCACTGTTGGTGGGAATGTAAATTGATACAGCCTCTATGGAGAACAGTATGGAGGTTCCTTAAGAAACGAAAAGTAGAACTACCATACGACCCAGCAATCCCACTACTGGGCATATACCCTGAGAAAACTGTAATACAAAAAGAGTCGTGTACCACAATGTTCATTGCAGCACTATTTACAATAGCCAGGACATGGAAGCAACCTAAGTGTCCATTGACAGATGAATGGATAAAGAAGATGTGGCACATATATACAATGGAATATTACTCAGCCATAAAAAGAAACAAAATTGAATTATTTGTAGTGAGGTGGATGGACCTAGAGTCTGTCATACAGAGTGACGTTAAGTCAGAAGAGAAAAACAAATACCGTATGCTAACACATACATACAGAATCTAAAAAAAAAAACCGGTTCTGACGAACCTAGGGGCAGGACAGGAATAAAGACGCAGACGTAGAGAACGGAGTTGAGGACACAGGGAGGGGGAAGGGTAAGCTGGGACGAAGTGAGAGAGTGGCATGGACATATATACACCACCAAATATATACACCACCAAGATAGCTAGCTAGTGGGAAACAGCAGCACAGCACAGTGAGATCAGCTCGGTGCTTTGTGACCACCTAGAGGGGTGGGAAGGGAGGATGGGAGGGAGACAGAGGGAGGGGATATGGGGATATATGTATACATATAGCTGACTCACTTTGTTATACAGCAGAAACTAACACACCATTGTAAAGCAATTATACTCCAATAAAGATGTTTAAAAAAAAAAAGTAAAAGGGTGTAAGTCTGGTAGAGGCGTATACCCGTTGCATCCCAGGAATCAATGTCAAAATCATTCTTAGAAAAAGTATTTAATTAGCATCATGAATTCCAAACAAAAAATAAATGTTATAAATAATATTTGGATTATCCAAGGTTGTGGTTAGTTTTAAAGACATCCCCCTACTCTCTCTACATTTACTGTAGAAAATGAAAAGCTAACTGTGCCAAAGACAGTTAAATATCCACTGAGATCTGTCACAGGAATCTGTTTTAATTCAGCTTTACCCAAAGTGACCTGACAAAGTCTCTCTGGTAATACTTGTCTAACTGCATAAAATGATGCCAGTTAAAGTGATTTTTTGCAATTGGGTTTTTTCTTAGTGGTGACATTTGATGTTGAAAAGTTCTATGTTATACCTCTACCACATATTTGACTACTGAGGTTCATTTTTGTTGTGTATCCTCTGATGTTTAGTAAGAGATGAGTTCAAGAGATTTTCCCACACCTGTCCCAGTCATAAGGCTTCTCTCCAGTGTGGATCCTGATGTTTGATAAGATCTGAACTTTTTTTTTCTTTCTTTCTTTTTGATGGGGGTGGGGGGCAGTTAAAGTGTGGAGTCCTACTGGACTGCCAGGGAATTCCTGATAAGATATGAACTTTGACTGAAGGCTTTCCTACATTATTTACCCTTAAAGAGCCTTCCCCCACAAGGAATCTTTGCTACACTTTAAGAGTTGAGCTAACGCTGAAAGCGTCCCCACAGTGGTCATACATACATAGCGTTTTGTTCCAGTATGGATTTTCCAATGTATAAGATTGAGCTTTTAAGTGAAGGCCTTCCCACATTTTAATATTTATGGAGTTTCTCTCTAGCATGGGTTTTCTGGTAATTAAGTGCTGGCTTCCAAACGAAGGCCTTCCCCCACTCACTACATTCATAATGGTGCTTTGCATTGTGGGTTCTTTGGCGGGTGACCAGACTCGAAACAAATGAATCCTACAGTATTATACTCTTTACACCAATAAGTTTTCTCTTCAGTATGGCTTCTCTGATGTTTAGCAATGCTATCAGAGAACTTAAAGGCTTTGCCACATTCGTGACATAGATAAGGTTCCTGTCCAAAATGAATTTGCTTATGTTCAATGAGACTTGACCTCACAGAGAAGGCTTCTGACACTGAAGATATCCCCAAGGGTTCTCTGATGTCTAAGATCACTCCAGTGTCTGAAGGTTTTGCCACATTCTTTATTCTCATGAAACTCTTTTCAGGATGGCTTCTCTGTTGTTTATTGAGACTTGGGATTACACTGAAGGTCGTTCCTGGTTGAGGATCTATAGGGCTTTAAGTTTGGATGTGCTGGTGCTTGGTCAGGGATGCTGGTGTACCAGGGTTTGTCTTATGAGGGAGGGATACTTTTGGTTTGGTGACTTCCACTCGCTTTACGAGTGGCTGCTTCTTTTATTACAGTTGAAGTTGGAAATTGTGCACAAGCTGAATGCAGAATTTCCCATGCCCACAGCATCGACAGGACTGAACTTCAGGGTGAATTCTCCCAGGTATCTTAGGCCTCTTTATCGGAGTGATATTCTCCATGGCTTGAGGCAATGTAAGTTGTGCGTCCTCAAAGGAGCTCCTCTCTCACTTGGGTAAATTATTCAGAAGTCCATGAACTTGTCCAGTGTGGAGCCCCTGATGATGTTCCCACTTAGTCTTCTGAACATCTCCCTTGTTTGTTAGACTTCTTCTGGAAAACTCTGCTTTGAAACAGACTCCTTATCTAAGGCCAGGAGTCACCATCTGAAAGAACAGGTTGATCATGAAATTAGCATCTTTTCCCCAGAGGCAGAAAGAGGGAGTCAAATGTAACATACATGAGAGTAGCCTACAGAGAGAAACTACATAAAACACAACTCTTTATGTGTGAAAGTTCTAAGTAAGAATACATACTTGCTTTTCCATTACTTTCTGCTCTTATCTTTAGTAATTTCTTCCTTCTGCTTTCTTGGGTTTATTTTCCTGTGCTTTAAGTTCTCAAAAGGAATGTTTAGAGCATTTTTTTTCACCTTTGTTTCTTTTCTAAATATAGCATCTATACTTTTAAATGAAATAATTTACCCTAAGGAGCCTGAAAAAGTACCGGGAACAGAATAGGTCTAAATAAATGGAAGCTACTCATTATTAGTATCATCACTAATGTAAAGCAGGAGAAGTAAAACAGAAAGGACTGGTGAGGAGACTCATTTGTGCAAAAGCTCCATAACAATATATAAAGTAGCAGATTAAAGAAGAGGTCATCACATAACAAAGCATTTTACTATCTATTTGGAGAGATGATAAAAACCTCAAAGCTGTAAGGTGTATCAGAGACTATCTAGCCTGTCTCCTTATTTTTAAGGATGTAAAACTGAGGCCCAGCTAGGTGGCATTAGCCTAGGTAACAGGATTACTTAGAGGTAAAGATAGGTTGAGACCAAGGGCTCTTGAATTTCACCTTTAAAGTTTTTACCAGCATAACACACTGGCCCACTGTGGTGCATAAACAACCTTCAGATCAAAACTTTCATAATATAGCATAGTGGTTAAGAGAAAACATCGTCAAGTTGAACTTCTGGTTTCAATTCCTGGCTCTGCCATTTCCTAGCTGTCTCTGTTCCTCAATATTTTTAGCTGTAAAATGGGAATATAGTAGTATATATCTCATTTCATTATTTTTTATTGAGAAAAATACACATGTAAGGTACTCAGAAAAAGCCCCAGCATAGGAAGCATTCCAAAAATATTGACCAATATGGTAGATCCACTATCTCAATGGTAAATTATATTACTTTTCTTAGTTATTCACTGTCCTCTTTGTAAGCTTTATTTTTCTCCACCCTATGGATAGTAAGCTTGGTGATTTGAACTGCTTTGACTAACGAAACGTAAGTGGAAATGACATATGCTCCTCCTGAATAGATGCTTTAAAAGCCATCATGTGGTCCTACCACTGTTTTTCTTTTGCCATAACAGCAGCATATTCAAGGTAGGAGCATTCTTCTAGCCTGGATTCTAGAGTGGTGAGAATGTGTTGCATTAGTCAGTTAACACAGGCAAAAATGAAAGTAACAGCCAAGCCTTTAATCACTTACTGCAATAGCATTAGCAAGAGAGGCCCAACAACAAAGAAGTGCTGGCTCCTGCAGTGTGTTATTCTTATCCATGCAACAGTGCCAGGCAGGGGTCAGCTGAATCAGCACAGGTGTGGGGACTGTGTCACTGCCAACACAGCACCAAACAAAAGGCTCCAGTCATTTTCTGGACCTGGAGGCCAGGGGAAGAAAGAGGGGAAAGGCTAGGATTGTAAAAGTACTAGTGCTGAGTCAGAGTGGAGAAAAGTGTCTTGCCTTATCAGGGTGAGAGAATCTTGAAGAGTTACTCGGGCAAGACCCCCAGTAAAAAGGGCCCCAAAAGGAGGTGCCTGGGCTAAGAGTACAGATATGCCTAAAAGCATGGCTGGCCAGGCGGTCTGAGTCTTTGACTGCAACTCCCTTCAGAGACTGCATGCGCTGGCTGTGCCTCAAAGCCTTGTGTAGGAGGGTAGCTTTACACCCATGAGGGACAAAGCCTTTGTAACTGCCTATGGTCAGGTCTGAAAAATCATACACATTGAAAACTTCCTTCTCCTCCCCCAGATGCACCATGATTTTCACGTTATTCCCACTGTACCTTCCTTCATTCCTTTTCACGTGGCTGAAGAACTCATTCTTTCTTCAAGATTTCATCCTCCTTCAAAGCTTTTCCAACCTTCTCATAAGTACTTGTTACACTTACAATGAAAAGCATTCGGTATAAATCCAATGGCTTTATCACTGTAATTATTATTTTCTATCTACTCCTTTCTCCCTGTCCGCAAATAGACTGTAAGTCTCTGGAGAGTAGGGTGCTTTTTTCATTTACCTTTGTATTCCTAGTAACTGACACAAGGCCCAACCTAAAATAGATAATCATTAATACCTTAATCTGAGCTTATAAGGAATAACCATGTTACATATATCCTGATATCCTAACACTCAATTCTTCAGTAAATGAAATTTCTTTTCCCAGAATGTCTGTTCCTTCAAAGTTTTCAAAATACTCACCACTTACTGCTTAGGAATCACAGTTGTGCTGGTCTGGGTGGGATATGGCATCACTTCAGTGCTGATCCCAGAAGGGTGTGCTCCACCCAGACGACTCTGCCTGCAAACCACCATCCTATGAACAAACCAAGACAGCTGGGCCCAAAGAGGTAAATACTGAAAACAATGGCGATAACAACATAGACAGGGGGTGACAGGGAAGTCTCTCCAGAGCAGAGCAGGGGGAAACCACAGTGTCCTTCAATTGCCAAAGACAGGAAAAAGTAGGGCAAAGAATTAACACCTTCAACCCAGCATAGCACAGTCAACTTCCTGGTGCTTCTTTGAGGCCCTTCACTGCCTGTAAGTACATGCCTTACTTTCTCTAACATGCCTCATGCCCTGATTGAGGTTCTATCTCCTCAATTTGAGCTGCAGAACCATGACATTCTCTACCTTCAGGCCCCATGTCCAGGCCTAAAGTTACCTGAGTAGTGTGGTAAGCACCATCTCAATAACAGAGACTTCATGATGTGCTTTTTAACATGCGTCTGTGACCTCAGTGTTTGAGGGCACAAGTTAGCTTAAGCTACCTGGAATCCAGTGTGCCTTATAGCTGACTTGCTTGAATTGCTGATGAGAATTCAGGGAAACTGTGCATCCTTTGCAACACAGAGTCTTACTCTGAAGTGAATACCACTTCAACTTCCCACAGAGTGTTCCCTCCTACTTGTCCACAGTGTGGACCAAAGCAATCTGCAATTTCTATCAATTTGGTGCTCACCTTGAACCTCGAATTACTAAGTTTCAGGGATCAAAAGGATTTCAGGCCCATTACCCAGGAGTAAGAAATCACTACTAAAACAGAAAAATAATAACAAAGTAATTTTAAAGTCCAGATTTCCTTTGAGTTTCATATGTGCAGAGAATACAGAGTTTGAGTTTTAGGCCTGGGGATAGTTAGGAAGTTAGGCTATAGTCTGGTGAACAGCTCTACTGGGATTTCCACAGATATAACAAAGACATTTCTCCAACTGAATTCATTAACTTTCTACCACCTCCCAAATCTGAGCTCTCCTGGTTGATTACAGATATCAAGTTTCACATAGTCACTCAGATAGATCGTTGTTTTTTTTTATTGGAGTATAGTTGCTTTACAATGTTGGGTTAGTTTCTGCTGTACAACGAAGTGAATCAGCTACATGTGTATATATATCCCCTCCTTCCCACCCCCACCCCATCCCACCCATCTAGGTCACCACAGAGCACCAAGCTGAGCTCCCTGCACTATACAGTAGGTTCCTACTAGCCATGTTTTACACCATGGCAGTGCACATATGTCAATCCCAATCTCCAAATTCATCCCCCCACCCCCGTGTCTACACCTCTGTTCTCTACGTCTGCATCTCTATTCTCAAACAGATCGTTGAAAGCCATCCTAAGACTAATGCCAACCCCAACTCAACAACAGTTCCCCAAGCTTGTTCCATTCTCATACCTCTGAGTCTTTGCATATGCCACATTACACTTTGAGAAACACTGAATGCAAGGGTCGGAAGCACCTGACACTCTTTTGAGAGGTTTTTGGTTTAGGAAGCTCAGTTAAGTTCTGGGGTTTATTGGATTATTAAGTCCAAAAGGCCTGGGGCTTATAATTAACCTTTTTAAAAAAATTAATCTATTTTTATGTATTTATTTGGCTGCGCTGGGTCTTGGCTGCAGCAAATGGGATCTTCGTTGCAGCATGCGGGATCTTTAGTTGGGCATTCGAACTCTTAGTTGCGGCATGTGGGATCTAGTTCCCTGACCAGGGATCGAACCTGGGCCACCTGCGTTGGGAATGCGGAGTCTTAGCCAGGCCTGGGGCTTTAACTAAGCAAGAATAACCTTGAAGAGGGAATTCCCTGGCGGTTCAGTGGTTAGGACTCAGCCCCTTCACTGCAGAGGGCCCGAGTTTGATCCCTGGTTGGGGAACTAAGATCCTGCAAGCCGCATGGCATGGTCAAAAAAAAAAAAAAAAAAAAAGAATAACTTTGAAGAATTATCAGTTGGGATTCCTAGCCAAAAAGAGAGTATGCCTTCTGCCACGAGGTCACTAACTCATTTAACCATCTCTAAGAGCATAGTAGTACATTAAAGCCAAAGAAATCAAGACCAATAGGTTAGTTATTTGCAGATTCAATGAGGACATGTAGTCCCTGTCTCACCAACCAACATTACTTCCAATTTCAAAATTTAATGTTTCACCTATAATACTGGTAGCAACAACAACAACAAAAGGCTTGCACATAAGAAAAGGAAAAATCATGTTTGAAATACTAAAGTTTGCTCTTACTAAACCATAACAAACTATATTATGCTATAATTTACCTTATGAGTAGTAAAACTGCATTCTCAGAAGTAGATGTGATCTTAGAGACTTAAGTCAATCATTACGATGATGGAGTCCTTTTTCATTGACTTCTCACTTCTTTGATAGTCCAAGAAACAAAGTGTCAATTAAAACATTAACTTTTACCATACCATTCCTTTGGTGACAACTTCTGATATTAAAAAAAAAAGGCCTTTGTAATATCTTCACCATGTAAGTCACTGATGACACTTTCCTTTGGCATGTATTTTCTGGTGTTTAGTAAGATTAGAGTTCCCACGGAATGCTTTCCCACACTCGTCACACTCATACGGTTTCTCTCCAGTATGGATTCTCTGATGAAGAATAAGAGTTGAGATCTGGCTGAATGCTTTCCTGCATTCTCCACACTTATAGGGCTTTTCTCCAGAATGAATCCTCTGGTGATTAGTAAGGGCTGAGTTCACATAGAAGGCCTTCCCACACTCCTTACACTCATATGGCTTCTCTCCTGTGTGGATTCTCTGATGTTTGATGAGGTCTGAGCTCACGCTGAAGGCTTTCCTACACTCATCACACTCATAAGGTTTCTCACCAGAGTGGATTCTCTGATGTTTGATGAGGTCTGAGCTCACACTAAATGCTCTGCCACATTTATTACATTCATAGGGTTTCTCTCCATTGTGGATTCTCTGATGTATAATTAGGTGTGCCCTCACACTGAATGCTTTCCTACACTCATTACAAGTATAGGGTTTCTCACCAGTGTGGATTCTTTCATGCACAGTGAGGGTTGAGCGTGCATTGAAGGCTTTTCCACAGTGATCACACTCATAGGGTTTCTCTCCGGTGTGGATTCTCCGATGTCGAACAAGGCTTGAGCTCTGGGCAAACTTCTTTCCACACTCACTGCATTTATACCATCTTTCTTCTTCAGGCTTGTCCACATGCCTTTCTAACTGGTCCTCATACTGAAAAGGTTTTTCATTCTCAGGAATCTGTAAAGTATCCCTATCATATATGCTGGGGACCTTCGGGTGTGGGTCCATCCTTACAAAAATCTTCCCTTCAGAATTGACACCTTGTTCATACCTTTGGCCTTGATTCCTGAAATAAAAAGACCTTTCAAATGTAATTTATTCCCTGATGCTAAAGCAATATGATGTAATAAAGACTAAACTAGGACTCTCAAACATGTTCCACAAACCCAGGACACACCGATCACACGGTGGCCAGATCAAATGTTTTTCTTCAGTCTGTACCACCACAGAACTATTGGAATGAACACCTGACTCAAATAACTATTTAAGTCTACCCTTTATAAAGGTATTTAAAGCACAAAATCTGGGATATAAGTGAGTATATAAAATAATAGATAGTTTCTACTTAAGACTTTTTATCAAATTTAATTAAATTGGGAAACAAGACAGGAGTTGCAGAGATTTGCAGATAACAGAGCAGATGAAGGAGCACAGGAATAGAGAAGGCAAAAAACCAGAAGTTCAACTGATAATGAATTAGTTTGGGAAAAATGACAATAACATTATCATTGTGTTTTATCACTCACACAAGTCCACACTATTTGGGTTGGAAGAGAGACATGGAGATAAAAGAAGCTCTGTCTACTGCTACCTCTACTATTGCTGCAGCTGATGTTGCTATGACAGACAGTATCTCAGCAACAGGGGTGCTTTGTCTTCTCTGGAACTGTGACAGAACAGACCCTTTATCTCTCCAAAGAAGGGTCCACTCCATCTTTATAATTCAGACCAATGTGTGGATAACTTGTTGGACTGCCCCCACTCTTTTATCCCCTGGGAACAAACTCAATTCTATCTCCAAACTTAATAAAACTTTTGCTTCAAACTCAAATTACACAAATTATCTCCCTCTGCCTTTTTCCATCTTACAAATTGTTTTATGTCTCAATAGTGATAAGTCAACACCCCCAAACCTCTAACCTCAGCATGATAATGAGAAAAACATCAAATTTCAATTGAGTAACATTCTACAAAGAAACCTTAAAGTACTCCTCAAAACTGTCAAAGTCATCAAAAACAAGGAAAGTCTGAGAAACTGCCACAGTCAAGAGGAGCATATGGAGACATGACAATTAAATGTAATATGGTATGCTGGATGGGATCCTGGACTAGAAAAAAGAACATTAGGTAAAAATTAAGGAAGCGTGAATAAAGTATGGACTTTAATAATAATAGGCAATAGTAACTCAATAGTTGTGATAAGTATTCTATATAATGTAAGATGTTAATAACAGGGGAAACTGGGGACTTCCCTGGTGATCCAGTGGTTAAGAATTCATGCTTTCAATGCAGTGGGCACAGGTTTGATCCCTGGTTGGGAAACTACGATTTTACATGCCACGTGGTGCAGCCAAAAAAAAAAAAAAAGAAAGAAACTGGGTGTGGGGGATATAAGAACTCTCTGTACTACCTTCACAATTTTTCTGCTAATCCAAAATGCCCAGAGATCAGAAACTATTCTAAAAATTTTATTTAAAAATTTGTCTGTGGGGCTTCCCTGGTGGCGCAGTGGTTGGGGGTCCGCCTGCCGATGCAGGGGACACGGGTTCGTGCCCCGGTCCGGGAGGATCCCACGTGCCGCGGAGCGGCTGGGCCCGTGGGCCGTGGCCCCTGAGCCTGCGCGTCCGGAGCCTGCACATCCGGAGCCTGTGCTCCGCAACGGGAGAGGCCACAACAGTGAGAGGCCCACATACCGCAAAAAAAAAAAAAATTTGTCTGTGTCTGAATAGGTAATATACAATTCAAAAGTCAAAATGGTCTCAAAAGATATATAAAAAGAAGACTTGTTTCCACCCTGATCCCCCCTCAGTTTGCCACCTCCATAGGTAATCAATTTTATTAGCTTCTTGTGTCTTTCCAATATTTCTTTATAGAAACATGTACTTTTAAAGCCTCTGATTTCCTTAATCCAGTTTCGAGCCCCACAGATCAGTCACAGGTTTACTTTCATATGGGCACTATACTCTCCATGGCTTACGAACTGTACCATTTCTACGTGATGCTGTTCTATCCAGTTTCTCTGAACAGTAGCTCCTTGGCAACACTGAAAAAGGCTAACTCAGTGCACAGGTCACATGCAAATGAACGCTTGCCCAGAGTCCAGAAACATGGCTACCATGGAAGCATGTGGTGCAAGTCGCTTTGCCCTTAGCAAAACACAGAGAACGTCTAGTCCTACCCAAACCCCTTCTGGTCTGTAGCTTGCTCACTCTTGAATTAGCCTTTCCTGTGGCTGCCTCAATGTGCCTTCTTTTCCCTAATATATTCCCCTCACAGCCCCAAACTGCTGATACTGACTTTAGGCAACTACAAAGGACAATAAATACAGTATTTTTTTCTGGATAAATTATCTTAAGGCTACAAATATGTATAAAGTTACCTTTCTGAGCTGTTATCAGATACCTTAAGATTTTTAATTCCAAAGAAAAGCTATCAAGAAGAAAGAGGGACATTTGCTTTCATCATATAAACAGAAGAAAAAGGTTGGAGGCAGAGGGGAATGAGATATAGATACCAAAAGAAAGGAGTTTCCGTGAGTAGAGCATTCAGCTAAACTGATTTTTTCCTTTGAGGCAAAATGAAAATATTTCAAGAACAACTAAATAAAATTGCCAAGCGTCCGTCAGCTACTAAGGTTATCAGAACAAAGGAGAGCTGAGGGCACACGGCCAAGAGAAAAGAAAGTCTACTCCACCTCCCCACACCCGCCTGGAAATCGGCCCCGCCAGAAAAGCGATTGGGGAACTCGGGGGGTCTCTGGGGGAGTCGGCAATGCCAGTGTGGCAACGGCCCAGAGGAGAAGGAGGAGGGAAAGGACAGAAAAAGAAGCCGTGGGAAGTGAGAAAGGAAAATATAGTAAAAGAGAAGGGAGGAGTGTGCAAAGAAGGCGGGGAAAGGGGAGAGGCGGCAGGGTGAGGGGAAGGAAAGGGTCGGGGAGCAAGGTAGAGGGGCAGGTGTGAGGCAACGAGGTGCGGCGCGTAGTAACCCTCTCCGCTGCTCTTCGCCCTACAGCTCACTCCAAACCCAAGGAGAATGACGCGAGAGGTCTCACCTGGAAAACCGTGATTTGATGAATAGACAGGTCGTTTGACGCCCGCACTGGCTCGGAGAGGTCGACTTCCGCGGAACCCCGCCCCAGGCACCTGGTGGTCCGCTCTGGGATCCTGGAGGCTTCCCTCTCAGTGGTTCATGAGCTGAGGCCCTGAAATGAGCAGAGTGGAAAGGATTCTATTTACACAGAAAAAGGCATTTTAGGCTTTTTAGCTCCTTTAATCCTGCAGGGCAGACGTTACAGTTATCCTCTCATATATAAGAAATCTAAGAAGCAGATAAGTTTTCTGAGGTTGGACAACTAATAAAAGCGCCGAGGTGGAATTTGAACCTAGATCTGTTACAGTCCCAACTCCTTCCATTTGCCTCCCAGCAGAACCAGTGAATGGTATCTCAAGGCTTAGGTCTTAGAAAGTAATCCCTATATTAATTTGTAAATTTAACACTATTCCAAAAAAATACGAACCTTTTAATAAGTAGATTTTAAAGTTCACATAGAAAACTAAACAAGCAAGACTCCGCCTGCGAAAACTGAAAAAGAAGGGCAATGAAGGGGCACTTGTCCTAAAGAATTTTAAACATATTATAAAGCCTCAATAATTAAACAGTGTGGCACTGGTGAAGGAGATAAACAAATGATTCAGAATAGAAGGTTCAGAAATAGATGCAATCACAGGCAGAAATCTAGCATATAATAAAGGTAGCCAATCAGTAAGAAAAAGATGAATAGACTTTTTAATAAATGTATGCAGAGAACTGGGTAATCATCTGGAAAAATATTAAACTGGATTCCGACCTCACTCTGTACACTGGTAAATATTTCAAATAAATAGAAGTTGTAAATGTTATAAATGAAACCATACAAGTGCCAGATATGGGAGAAGTCTTTTATAACTTCAGAGTAGGAAGCCCTTTCTTTCTAATTAAGAACCAAAATCCAGAGGCCATAAATGAAAAGATTGATAAATTTGACCCCGCAAAGAATCCATACTCCAGCAAGGTAAAACAAAAAAACCCACTTAAGTCGAGTGAAAAACAAATAAAAAATGGAAAATATACTTACAACTTATAGCTCAGACAACAGACAGCAAAGGGAGAACTTCTGAATAATACAAATCATGGAATTGGCAAAGCTGAGCTGGATTGCCTATTGTTCCACCCTCATTTTGAACTTAAGCAGATTGCTGAGCAGTCATAACCACGCAGTTATGCTGATCTCATTAAACAGAAGTTTAAGAAAAAAAAAAAGTGTCCTCAGGTCCCTTATATCCAGAACCTTCAGAAAACTACAGAATGTCAAAGTTTAACACCTAACAACACTCCTGTAGGGAGAAGGGTCCCTGTAATTGATATTTCAATAGTGTATTCCTGGCTAGGAGCTGCAGAGACAGTGGTTCTCCTTCTGCTGCCAGAGCTGACATTTATTAATAGATCACTTCTTGACTGTGTGCAAGAAATGGGACATAGAAAAAATTAAACACGTGAAATTATGGGGAATCACTGTATAAACAAATAAATCAGCAGAGCAGGCCAAGTCCCAGGAAGGTAAGGAGAGGAAGAAATAATTACAACAACTATCTAGATAGCACTTCTTTTGTACCAGGTAATGTTCATGTAATGTAAAAGGCAGTTGCTTTTATCATCCTCATTTACAGACGAGGAAATGGAAGCACAGAGATTAAGTTATTTGGCTACTATCACAGTCTGACTTTAGACTTGCATACATAAAACGTAGGAAAAAAAAAAAAGAAGAATCATCACTAAGAGGCTGAAAGTTTTAAGATGACTTGATAATACCTCTCCTTTGCTGCCCTCTTGTCTAGGTTCATCCTA